CTTTAGGAAAACACCATTTAGTAGACTTGTGGAAAAGTTCCTCTTTAATAATGCAACGAGCATTGATTCTGTGGAAAGAAAGACCAAGAAGAAGCAGGTGATAGTGTGAACAAAGATCTGTGCCTAGTTAAGGATCATATTTCCTTGTTTTGCTTTCTGACTGGGCTCTGTTCCCTGTGCTTGGCCAGCTTCACCCATTCATGCGGCTGCCCTTACATTTACACCATACATCTCAGGGCAAAACCGGTTCCATTAAATATGTAGCTGATCCTAATGTTTTATCTAGTGTAAGAATACAGGGTCCCCATCTGGCTCGGGGCCACTGTGTGTGTGTGGGGGGGGGAGTTTGAACCTTTAAACTGCCCCCCACCACCACAACAGTTGGGGGAAACAAAAAAGAACACACACTTCTATTGTTTCCAATGGAGCTTTATGCCTTTTCTCTTTATTGCTGTGTGTGGTGTGAATTTTAACAAAACCCTATCTGAATCATCGCTACCTGAGTGTGATGCATTGAATTGGGGTCTCTGTCTGCAGCACAGAAGGAAATCACAGTGAATAGCTCAACTGCAAAGAAGTGTATAAAATCTTAACAAATACCCAAAGTATTTGGCTATATTCTGACTTCAATAGTCTAAACTTGCAGTTATTGTTTTGATGATACTGATTTTCTGGATCCATTTCTATCTGGGTTCAGGCCAGGTTATAATACAGAAACAACGTTGGTCATGATGTGTGATAACCTGTGGCAGTGGAGAGGCAGGGGACTGTGACAATATTGGTACTTCTGGGTCTCTCAGCAGCTTTCGATACATTGATCATGGTAACCTTCTGGGGCAATTGCGATGGGAGTGGGTGGCACTCCTTTGCAGTTGTTCCATTCCTACCTGGATAGCTCCAGAAGGTGGTGCTTGGGGAATTGCTCAGTCCTGTGGATTCTCCATCATATGGTTATTCAGGGTCCTATTATCCCCCATGCAAATTAACATCTACATGAAAGCATTAAGTGGGGCCATCAGGAGGGTTGGAGTGAGCTGTCAGCAGTGCACTGATGACACACAGCTCTGTTTTGCCTTTTCATCCTCCTCAAGTGAGGCTGTGCATGTGCTAAACTGGTACCTGGTTGCAATAATGGACTGGATGAATGCAAATAAGCTGAAGTTTGATCCAAACAAGACTGAGATACTGTCAGTGGGTGATCCTTCGGATTGAATGGAGGGTGTTCAACTTGTTCTGGATGGGGTTGTTTGCCACTTGAAGGAGCAGGCTTGTAGTCTGGGGGTTCCCTTTGATCCATCCGTGTCATTTAACACTCAGGTGGCCTCAAAACTTCTACCAGCTTTTGCTCATGGCCCAGATGCCCCCAGCCTGATAGGGATAGGGCTGAGATAGGCTGGTTTCAGTAATCTGCACCATGGTAATCTCTAAATTAGATTACTACAATGTGGGGCTGCCCTTGAAGACTGTTCAGAAGCTGCAGCTTGTGAAATATATGGCGGCCAGATTAATAACTGGAACCAGAAGCTTGACACATATAATACCAGTTCTAGCTTACTCACATTGGGTGCCTATATGCTTTTAGCACAATTCAAGTTGTTGGTTTTAACCTATAAAGCCCTGCTTGGCTTGAGACTACAACACCTTATGAATCACTTACTCTGACTAAGTCTACCCAAACCCTATGAACTACATCTGGGCTCTTCCTCCATCTGCCAGTTTGGAGGAAGGGCCAGAAAGAGGCAACAAGGAGGCGGCGCTTCTGAGTGATGGACCCCAATTATGGAATGCTTGCCCCTGGGCCCACCTAGGGCCATCATTTGCATCTTTTGGCATCAGGTTAACGCTGCCCCCTCTTCTCAGACATTTAATTGTGTCTCGATGGGATATGTCAGCTATTTTAATCAGGTACAGTTTTACTGAACTCGTTTGAGATGTTTACACTGTTTTAAGTGTTGTACATTGGAATTTAAACCCTCTTAAATCTGTATATTGGTGTTTTATGTTGTGTTTCATTGTGTGTCTATTTTTTTTATCTCCTTTTATTGTACTTTGAGAAATCGTTGGGAGAGAGCCCAGAGAGCTTCAGCCATTGGGCAGTTAATTAATTACTTAAAATAAAGCTGAATTCTCAGACATCAAGGCACCTGTCAGCTCCTTGCAGCATTACTATCATAGTGGTGTCCCTTGGGAATTTGGGAATGTGAATATCTACACATTTCCAAGTGCTTGCTAGCTATCTCCATTATTTAATATTCAGAGTGGTGCTATCACTTTAAATATATTAGTGCTGGAATATAACATGTTGAATTGGGCTGAAAGGCACAGTATTTTCCTCATGTATTACATGAGAACTATGATAGTTAAGACATTAGACCATTGGAATAGAGAAATATTGTGTAAATGTGTTTGGTTGTTTGTTATATATAAAATATTCATTTGTTCATGAGTGGCTGTCACTGGGCAATTGTTTTATATGGATGGATTTGTCCCTATCTGATATTGGGCTGCCTAGTTTTAATGTTGTTGTCATAAAATACATTGCATTACTTTGTGAGTTGTGTAAGTTTTCCCTTTTTCTACATCAGGTGTCCCACTTGACTGCCATAAAATTAAATTCTTTTAATTGAAGATGTTGAGAAATTGAAGCAGGAGCTTTCTGCACACAAAGTAAATGAGTCATAACCGTTCTCGGTGCAAAAAAGGAGGACTAGGGAAGCTAGGAAGATACTGCTGATCACTTGCACATTCTGATACTTCAAGAAGATGCTCTTCTTGTCAGTGCTGGTTCACACACAACCATTGTTTACAAGAGCTAAGAACAAGAAGTGGGGACAAAATTGCTCTTGCAAACACATATGCATTTGTGTATGCCTTCACTGGCAAACTATAACACACAAAAAGAGATTGTTGTTTGCATTCACAATAAGTCTTTGCATTCACAATAAGTACCTCGTTCAAGCTCCTGGCCTGGAATGTTCCTCCTGAATTCACTGAGGAATCAAATGTGTTACTGTTAGTGAGTTAATGTGTTAATGAGTTTGGGTAGCAGAGGAGGTGGTAGGTTCTTCCAGGTAACCATGAGTAGGATTGAGGCTTCAGAAGCAGGACAGGGGTGGATAATTGGGAATCCTTGTTTGTGCTTCCTTTGGGCTTTTGAAAATGGGAAGGAAAGATGGCTCAAGGAGTTTCCTCATCTCTTCTGTGCATTGCTTGTGTTGTTTAAGCAATTCCATGCAAGCAAGATGATACTGTGAGGACACTGGAAGGAATTATTGGAAGGTTTGGCACAGGAACACTCGAAGCCTTTGCTGCCTTAAGACAAGGCTTTTATTGTGCTCTTGTATGGTGCAATTTTAATCCTGCCCTGCCTCATTTGCAGAATTTTACTGGAAGTCCAGGTGACAGTGTCCTCAAATTTATAGCCTTTCTCTGTGTTTTTTCCTGCCTTTTTCCTGACCAGAAAATAACCTGGAATAAAGGTGGGGAAAAAAGATGGAATTGCCTCTTTGTGGAAGCATGCATTAAGAGGACTGAGATATCCTAATGATTTCCTTCCTCTTACTCAATTTACCAGTATTTCGTGTGTCAGCCCAGGTTTGAGGAATCCTGCTTGTGCAACTGCTGCAGCCCTTCCTGCTGCTTTTGCTAGGCCGGAGAGGTGAAGGAGGGTCATGCTGCAGAAAAACAGTGGCTAGCTCTTGGTCTGTTTTCTCTCCAAGACCTGTCTTGGGCTGTTTCCCTCCCTCCCTCCTTCCCTCCTTCAGCCTATTATTTGTTTTCCTGTTTTGTTGTACGCTCCAAGAGAATCTTCCTCCCTGCCCTGGAACGCAGGAAGCCTTGACCAGACATCCTCTCTGAGCCATTACTAGACGACAGTGCCAGATATTAAAGCTGCCCTCTCCGTCTCCAGCTGAAGCACAAGAGGCAGTGGCAGCTCTTCCCACCTTCTGTCGTCCTTGCACTACTTCCCTTGCCAGCTCAGGCAAACTGGTTTCACTGTGTTTCGCTCAGCAGTTAAAACAGGTGGCAGACACTGGAGGAGCAGTGCTGAGGAGGCATGGAGGAGCGATCGATCACTCTTTCCTCCTGCTTGCGTTGAAGATCGAAAAGGAAATCTCATTTGCAAATGCTAGTCACAAAAGTGTAAGCATGCTGTTTAGGGAGAGGACGGGATTTTGGGGTGTAGCATTCCATGCTGAATGGTAGCTTCTAAATGTGTCCTGTGAATTCATGGCAGGCGACACTGAATGTAAATAGCTTCTGTATGTATGCCCTGTTGAATTAGGGGTTGTTTGTTTTTAGTGCTCCTGCTTTCCTTATATCAGGCAAGACTTCTTAGATCACTCTGAGCAAAATGTGTCCTGCAAAATAGTCTCCTTGGGAACTGAAGAATGCTCCTGGAAATGCTGATTCTTCATTGCAGTGACCTTGGGCCTAATGTATAAATTGACGTTCTTCAACAAACTATAAATGCAATTTCAGAATTTCACTCTATGGCATGTATAAAATGAAGAATAAGCTGGTATTCTTGCAAAGTTACTCTAACAGTTAGGTAAAACTTATAGTGACTCATCAGACTTCTCACTGAAGCATTTGAAAACCTATCCCACCCTGTTGAACCTTCTGGAATGACCAAAGGTGTGTAATTGTAGAACATTTTGAAGTGTCCAAGATATTGCATATATTATCTCCACAGCCCTCTAAGATGGGCTGTTACAATTTAGGGTTCCATTTCTCAGATCTCACGCTCTAATATCTTTATACCAGGATGATTAGTTTGAGTATCTTTTCACAATGTGGTCTGTATTTCCAGCTTCCATCAGCTCTAGCCAGAGTGGTAGTCAGGAATGATGAGAATTGCAATCTAAACCATCTGGAGCACGACAAGTTAGGAAGGCTTTAGTAGGCACACCACCTAAACCTGATGCTAACCCAGGAATTGCCAATAATCAGTTCTTCTGGATTCTGATGGCTTCCCCTATTCTGTTTTTCCTTTCCAGGCACAAACCATGAATTACGTAGGGCAGTTAGCAGGCCAAGTGTTTGTGACAGTGAAGGAGCTGTATAAAGGGTTAAATCCTGCCACACTGTCTGGATGCATTGATGTCATTGTTGTCCGTCAGCCTGATGGGACTCTCCAGTGTTCCCCTTTCCACGTACGCTTTGGAAAGATGGGCGTTCTGCGTTCAAAGGAAAAAGTGGTAAGAAAATCTTTTCGTTGTTGGTTTCTTTGTTAGATGTGCCCTCTCTGCCTGGGATATTGCTATATTAAATGTGAGATCACATTTGCATATTCTCTCTCTCTCTGTGTATTTCTTATCCCATGTATATGTTTGGGGCCCTCCAATATGAGACTCCCCATCCAATCTCCTGATCCACTGGGTTGGTGGGGCACCCCCTCTCAAACCAATCTGGATTAAATGGTTTTACCTCTTTCTCCATATCATTTTCCTGAGTCGCTGCTGCCCCAAAGCTGCTATTCGTCCTAGGGGAGAAAAGCCAGCTCCAGGTATAAATAGCAAATAACAACCTTGAATGTTTAAAGGATTTTCATGAGGAAGAACCCAACGTTGCAGTCCCAATGCTAATGTGTCTCCCAATGTTGTGGCCGCCATTTAATTTATAAATAATAAAAGCAGATGGGCCTCTATCTGCTCATCAGAACAATAACACCAATTTAGTTGCTTGAAACTTGGTATACACACCAAGGAGACCTTAGGGTTATTTGTTTTTAAAATGCATTAATTCTTTTTAATTAATTTAAATGCACCCATTTATTTATTAAGTTTGTATGCCATCCAATTACTTGTGTCTCTGGACAGCCCTTGCAGTTGAAGCCTGTAGTAATATCTTTAGTCACTATAGGAGCAGACTTTTCTAACAAGTGCATAGCTTTGCAGTCAACCTTGAGGGTGCTGTTAATTGCGGTTTCAGACCAACAGAGATTAATAGGCCAGGATACAAAGTTGCACAGCTGCCCTTTCCTTCCTGCTGTAGGGCAGCCCCTCTCAAGGAAATGGAGTGGAGAGACCCCTCTGTCAGGGGGCTGTAAGGGCACCCCATGGCAAGGGTCACCCAGGCATACCAGCAGGTATGGCTTAACTCAGATGGGGCAGACCCTGTGTGTCCAGCTCCAACAGCTCTGCAAGATGGCTTCAAGACTTTGCTGCATTTAATTAAGGGCTGTTTATCCTGTGTGAAAGCAAACTTGGAAATGTGATCACACATTTAATGTATCATCTTATTTCGCTCTCAGAGCACATCTGTGATGCATGCATGAAGCTGTATAACTTTCATTACTTCCAACAAAGGAACTTTGGAAAGCTGGACTCCTCTAATCCTGCTGTGGATCTCTAATGCAGAGTCCTTGCACTTTCACCAAAACCCAGAAGGGTGATCATTATTGTGCACACAAATACGTGGTCTTGGGTAAGAGCTTTTGCCATGGATATGCTCTATTTACTTGTAGCAGTGAAAGCAAGTTTATTGGTGTACTGAGCTTTTTGCCTCATAGCTATAACCTTAAGCACTTTTGTTATTCAGTGGGAATTCAGTGGGATTAAACACATACTTAATCCCTCCCAGTCCTTCTGCTAAAATCAGTGTGGATAGAAAAAAAAGCTTAATTTTACTTAGATACATCTCGGATGAGGTAGATGACTAATGTTTACTTTTTGCTGGTTCATGTGTCCCTCTCCCACTGTTGGTTGATTTGGTATGGTGGCCAAGAATACAGTTTGGGAAGTCCCTGGTTCAAACAGCATTTAATTTATGAAGTTATCAGGAAAACTCATGGACTCCTACTCCATGCAATATGGGGATAATAGTACTAATCTGTCTTACTGAGATAGTTGGGGTAATATGAAGTATTTTCAAGCATGAACCTTGAAAAATTGTTATGTGAATACTGTTGAAGATGATGTGAATGTGCCCTCTGGCATACACAAAATGAAGTTTGTCCACCTAACAGATGAATTTATGTTGTCCTTTGCACCCTCAAGGTTGATATAGAAATTAATGGAGAATCTGTGGATTTGCACATGAAATTAGGAGACAATGGAGAAGCATTTTTTGTAGAAGAAACAGAAGGTGACCAGGTAGGACCAAGCTCTTGCCCCGTACCCAGTTCTGCACCCAGTATTTTTAATTGGTAATAAATTGTGTCCAGAAGTATTTTTATGATTCAACATCTGTGATGGAATTATCAAATCCAAAACATGGGGAGAGACTGTGAGAACTGGGTATGTTCAGCCTTGAGAAGAGAAGACTGAAGCATGGAATATGAGATCACTCCATAGGTACCTAAAAGGCTGTCACAAAGAGGAAGGACAATATCTCTTCTTGCTCATACCAGCATGTAGGACTTGGAATAATCAACTCAAGTTGCAACAAACCTAGATATCAGGAAAAATTTCCTAACTGTTAAGGCAATGACAGTGGAACCAGTTGCCTAGAGAGGTCATGGGCTCTCCCACACTAGAGATATTAAAAAAAGAACCTGGACAGGCATCTGAGTCCTGGACTGTGTAGGGAGTTGGACTCAGTGGCCTTCTGGGCCCTTCCAACTCTGCTGTTCTATGATTTTATGTTCCTGTGTGTTTGATCCTTGTACCTAGAAGGCTGATAGATCTGACTTCAGCCACTCTAGCCACTCATTCTTCCCTGCACTGTTAGGGCTTGGGTTATGTTTGTTGACACCTGGAAGAATGGGTTGGATGGCAAAACTTTAAGGCCATGTCTCATGATCTCAGTATTCTTGCACTGAAATCAGTTGCTACTTGGTAATGATTGCATGTTTTGACTGTGTGGTGGTATTGTCCTCATTTGTGGGTGACTGTCATTCATGGGTGAAAACATGCACAAGATTTGTTAGTTTATGATAGCACTGATGGTTATCTGGCTTCTAGAATTGGCTATTGGTGGTAGCCAGGCATTGGCTAGGCTGATTTATGCTTAGGATTTCAGTACTTAGATTTCCATACATCCCTGATCTGTGACCTTTCCCGAGTTTTCCTCCTTCAGAAGGGCTTCTGCAGTGGGATTATTCAGTACAGGAGCAGATTAGTTGTTCCGCAGAGGAAGAGGAGTCTCCCGTGGCATGTGAGACAGACCACTGCCGCTCCTCAAAAGACGGTGCTATGGAGGAGTATGCGTCATGCAAGTTTCCATGACTGAGGTTGCAGTACACTTAGTCCATGGAAGTCACAGGGACCCACTTGTATGAAAACCTGTTCGGAGATGGAGTGTCCTTCTAAAATTGAGCCTTACATTTTGTGAATTTTGAAGCAGTTGAACAATTAAATGTACGCAAGAGCCACTTGTGGGAAACCCAAATTAAGCACATGTACTTGAGCTGTTTGATGGGGTTCCCAACTGTTTTGAGTTAGTGGGCAAATCTGAAATTTTGAGAAGTATTGTGGATGCTCTCAGAAAATGACTGCCAAGAAAATGACATGCCCATTGTTAAAATGGTTGCTAAGCTGAATTTTTCGTAAAATATCACATTCCAGAAGGCAAACTGGGGAGACTAAAGAAAAGTAACTTGCCCAAGAACAACCTAACTGCAAGGCAGAGGTGGACTCTGAACTCTTAAAAAAAAGCCACTGCTTTGAATCTGAGTAAAAGTGTCACTGGGCAATTCTTCACCCAGTCACCCAGTTATTTTTTTAACTCAATTTTAAAAATTCAGGAAGGGTAGGGAGCCTTGGGGCAGAAGATTAGAGATCCCAGACTATATATGGAGAGCCAGTGTAATGTTGCGGTTAAGAGGGAGGGACTGTGACTCAGGCAATCTGGGTTCTAGTCCCCACTCAGCCATGGAGCTCCCTGGGTGACTTGGGGCCAGTCACTGACTCTCAGCCCAACCCACCTCACAGGGATGTTGTTAGAAGGAGAGGACAAGGAGAATTATGTATGCTGCCCTGAGTTTCATGAAAGGTGAAAAGTCAGGATAGCAACAATCATACCAGAAGAAAAAAATTCTGCCAAATGCCAGATGTCAGCTGACAAGTTGGCTTTTCCTTTTTCTAGGAGGCAATTCCATACCACTTGGCTACATCTCCCATTATTTCAGAGGGATCAGCCCTCATGGAATTACAGCTGAAGAGAAACTCTGCAGACAGGATAAGAAACCTGGACGGTGCTACCCCTTCACAGCTTTCAAACACTGCTCCGTCTGTTGCGGAATCCAATTCTGCATCTAGCTCTGTGAAGAAAAGGCGGAAACGGAGAAGGAGATCTACCCACAAAATAGACACCTCAAAAAGAGATGAAAATGCAGATACTACGGAAGATGAAAACATGTTCCCTATAGAAATCAGTTCCAGTGAAGAAAATGAGTTGCTAGACAATGCAAGGTATTGATCCTGTTTATTTCAGAGATCTGATTTATTCAGTGCTATTAATATTCTTTACCAAAGAAAGTATAAGAAGATGAACTATGAACTCTTCTCTGCTTCAGTGCAATATGCGAATGATAGAATACTTAGATACCAGATTGTATATGGGACGAACAAAAGCATTTATATACTTGGACTATTTTATGAAACTTAAAGATTATATCATAACTGGCTTTAGAAGAAAGGTAAAATGAATTTTAGAGAGGTAATAAGGTCCATCAAGGGTACTTAGCCATGGTATTTAGGGAAACTTCAGAAGCTCTAAATTGCCAGAAGGTGGGGAGTCAGTTTCCCAACTGGATTTGGACACTATTTTTGGCATGACATTGTGTTGATAATACCTAGAATGGCATCGGGGAGACATTTATCCTTTTGCAGTGTTGCAGCACTATTCTTTTATTTATTTTTATTAATTTTAATAAATTAACAAATATTAATTTGTGGTTGTAATCTAAAATACAATCACAAAAAATTACATCTAAAATAGAAACATATACAATTAAACATACAATTAAAACAATTCTTTAAAATACCGTGCCCCCCATCACCAGGACCAAGGGATACATGTTACAGATAGAATTTTTCTTTCGGGACATTTCCCCCTTCCAAAATGGGCAATGATCTTTTTGATGGTTAAATTCCTTTCCCCTTTTTAATACATATGCAATAACGTGTTGCAGCACTGTTCTACCTATCAAGCAAGATGGGAGAGATCGTCATAAAAAATTCTTTCCCTTTTTCTTTTTGTGCTCAGAACTTCTGTTGCAGAGCTGTGCAGGGATAGCATGCCTGAGATAAATCCGACTTCAGTTGTACTCTCTCACCCCTACTCAGATGGAGAATGGTCGCCTCTGCAAAGGTACAGCATATGCTCTTGGAATACTTCAGGTAGTCTCCTTTGTGCAAGCTGAATGCACCCCAATTTAGACCAGATGCAGAAGCTGAAGGGAGGATGCTCTTTGGATCTTTGTCTTCTAGTTCTGTGTCTTGGTGCTCAGCTGTGTTTTGCACACACAATTAAGGTAATAAATACTTCCCATGTTTCAGCCAGGCATTGAGGGCTCATCTAGATGTTGCATGTGAACACGTGTAAGAAAAGCCTTGATCACTGACTTTCTTAGTTTAAAACAGGACAAGAGGGAGTGATCTGGAATTTAGAGTAAACATGATGGGCAGGAGTGGGTTAAGTTCCACTGTCTTCCCTGTGCCTCCACTTGTTTGCTCCAAGCTCTCCTCTCCTGGTATTGTTCTGAATGAAAAAATTGGGTTTACAAACTCATTTGCATGCAGTGGTGAGTTTCAGCTCTCAGAGCTAGGCTGAAATGCTGAACATTTGCTTGTCTACTGGTTAGTTACAACTGAACTTTTTCTGCACCTAGAAGAAATAGAAATAGCTTATAGAAATAGGCTATGTTGGGGCTAAGCAGACATATTTTAATACATACACTGGGTTTTGACCTAACGAGGCCTCCACATGAATGCACATGGAACTTCTTGATGTCTGCAGTAGAAGAATAAGCAACTATAAATTATTGGAGAGCTCTGTTTTTCATGCATGTGTGAGACCTACAGTTATGAACATGTTATATGTAGTTATATATCATGACCATACTACCATTCATCGGTACTATGCTCACGATTCTTGTAGATTTTCATAACAGAGGCCAAATCATGTAAATGTCTTATTTATTAAATTTCTACCCCACACATCAGCCCAAATGCACCCCTTTTCATGTTGCAAGACAATGCAACTCTCTCTGTGTTCATATAACTAAAAGCATGTTGTTTTAGCAACCTCCTGTTTAAGCCAGAGCTCTTATTGCAAAAGAAATGCTGAAAGATAGTGGAATGCATTATGCCTTGTTTTCTGTGCGTTGCTCTGATGTTATCTATATGCCAGTTTGTATTCTTCTTTTGCCACATTCTGGAGTGTTTCACCAAAGGCACTGATGTTTCCATAGGGATGAGTTTTGTTTCCTAATCATTATAATTGTTGTGTGTAGCATTTGCAACCAGGGTTTAGGCTTTTGTGTACAATAATTAGGTGACTTTCTAAACTGTATACGCTGCCTTCCTGTATGTTTGCTTTTAGTGGTTCTGGACCTTGTCATTTAGAAACTCAATTCAGTTTAAACTGAGTCTCCTGTTCTCATGGGGTTAGTAGGTGCCCCAGCAGTGTGCCTTGATGGGGAGCATGATGTGGAATAATGATGCCTACTTTTTCTCTCTCTCGCCATGCCTTATACTGTCCAGTAAACCTAGAACTTGTGCAGGGAAGCCTTCTCTTCTTACTGTTCCAGCAGATGGAGGCTTATCTAGCTCATGTCCTCACCAGTCCTCTCACTGTCCTGCTACAGACAGGTAGAGCAGCTATTCTTCCAATTATTTTGGAATGACAATTAACCCTTTACTACTTTTAACAGTATGGAAACTCTGTGAGACTTATCAAATCACTGCTAATTATTAACCCAGATGCTTGCCTGGAAACAAAACAATAGCACTTAGGTTTTGGTGTTGGGTTATTGTTCTTGGTCACCAAATGACTTGTTGTTCAGTGCAGTTCAGTCTTTCCTCATTGATCCAGCTCCTGCAATGGACATCTCCTCTGTCTTGGTACCCCGTCTCTACTCCTTTCTTCAGCCCTCTTGGTTTATCCATATTCATTTCTGCAGGGTCATCTTTTTCCCACCTTTGTATGTCTTGACTACTCATACCTGCTCTGCTTTCCTTCAATACTAGGCTAGGCTTCTGTCCTCCAATTTTAGGAAGCTGTTTGCCAATCCAGCTTTTCTCTGCCAATCCAGTAGTCCTGTCAGTGCCAGCCAAGGCAGGGTGATTCAGCAGTGATACAATATAGTACAAGGGTAGGCCAAGTGGTCTCCAGTGTGCTCCCAAACACTGGATTTTGTACCTGCTCTCAGACTACTCCTACTTGTAAAAACATTTTTAAAAACAGGGACTTGTGCAAACTAGGTAGTAAAAATGGTGGCCCCAAAAGGATTGTTCAGTGTGTTGAGACTCCGCCCCCCCCAAACTTCTGCCTTGTATTCAGCCTTTGGGAAGGGCTACTGTTCATCTTTGCCGCAGCTCCCAGGGCCTGGTCATTTTTCCTCAAATTGTCAATTTGAGGAAAAAATTGGCCCAAAAAGATTGCCTGCTCCAATATAGTAAATATTGCCAACAATCTTTTGTAGGCACAGGGGCTACCAAACAGTGGCTCCCAAGGCCTTCCTATTCCTTCAGTTAAATGCAGCATTTCTGTACATACACAGTCACAGAACTGTCTCTATCCAAGTGTGTGTGAATCTCTTGAACAGGATGAGAACATGGAAGAACCAGAATTCTCGGCAGACTTCATGATCCATCTGATTTAAATCTGACTGTAGGATGCTTGGCGTTATTAAACAGCTCATTGATTACTATCCTCTGGTTCAAAATTAATACACAGAAATTTATTCCTTCCCACAGATTTTAACAGAACTGTGGTGAACAAAGAAAACATTTTTCAAAACACTTGAAGCAGCCTATCTAATTAGAGGACAACAGTGCTTTTCAAGTAAGATCGGTTTAAAGGCTGTTCACAGTTGTGCTGAATTACACAGCACTGAAAGAAAGCCCCGAGGTACAGTACAAATTGCAGCCATAACTTTTAACAGAGGGAGAATTATCATGAGAACCCACTAGTAGTCCTATTCATAAAACTAGTGGAGAACGCTCCTGCATACTTTTAACTCTGCTTTTGCACTTTCTGATTGTACTCAGATTTAACAGTATTTAATGTAGCTTCTTTATGACATCTTTGGTAAGCAAAGAGTAAGAAGGATGACTGCATAGAATAAAATGAGGTTTCTGTGAGTGGTTGGGATGAGGAGGCAAAGTGGAGCCCCTGAGCAATTCTTTGTCCTTAGGAGCAAGAGGGTCGCTGGGGCAGCAGGACTTCTGCTTTGGCCGGGGGATGATGGGAGCCTTGGCCCTCAATTTTCATCCCTCCTTGAACATGGCCCAGCCCTGCAGTTGGCTGCTGACTTAATATGCAGCTTGAACTCATGGGAAAGCTGTGGCCACTCTCAAGATTTCTGACTTAAGGAAGTTCCTCCTGGTTCTTGGGTTTCCGTTTTGCTTGGTTGACCTGAACATAATTTCAGAACTTCCTGTCTGCAAGGTCTATTTGCCTGTGGGTTTTTCATTGACCTTAGAAGATAATAGTGTATTTCCTGTCTCTGATATTGTAAAGGGGCCAGGCACAGATCTGAGGGCCTTCAAACCAGCCATAAAGTGTATAAGCACATGAGGCCCTCTAAGAGGATAAAATTTGGTAGAAGCTAGTAAACACTTGCTCTCTGGAAAGTTGCCTCTTTCTTTTTTCATTTCAAAGGTTATATACACAAATATTTGTTCATACATTTCTAACTCTCTTAACAGTTTCATAAACGCTTAAAGAACTAAAACAGGAAATCAGTCCTTAAATAGCAATAGATTAAACATTTGCTGCTATGTATATATAAATGTTAAAATATACATCATGAAGATGTGAATAAATTAACACATACAAAATATAGATACATTTTTTAGCAGGGGAAAGCATCTACATTTATCAATTTCCTGATTATACCTGGAAGTCATAAGGGCAATCAGTGGCATGCAAGTTTTATTAAAATCCTCTTTTTGCTTCATTTCCCATCTCTCCTATTCTGTGAGCTCATTCATTTCTGTTCTTTTCCAAATTATGCCTAACCATTCTGAGAAGCATCTTTCTGTTTCTTTCTTTGCATTCTGAGTGCTCGTGCCTGTTCACATACTAGCTTCATTTAATTAGGAACAGCTTAACCATCCATTGAAACAATATTGTCAAAGGGATTGATCATTAGAAATACCACATATATTCTTCCAGAACAATTTAGTCAGTCCTAGCAAAAGTGTTTTAAATTTACTTTTTGTGAACCATGCGTCCAACACCCATCTTTGTTATCTGCATATGTTTTATTTAACTGGAAATCAGATAGTATAGATACAACATTTTCCAGTGTTCTTCTGTTAGACAATATGAAAATGAAAAATATATTTTATATAAATTCTGTTCAGAAATGTGACAGCCACCATCAGTGCACACAAACCTCTGAAGTCCAGTGCATAGAGGGTGGGTAGGGTTGGAGACCCAGTTCTGAGGTGCAGGACCTTGGAGCTGGGTGGCCTTAGGATTGTGCCCTTAGCTTCCTTGAAATGAGGTGGATGATTTAAGTTCCTAGGGACTAGCACGACATTTTGGGGTGCCACGTATTATTCTTAAATATTGTGTGCCCTGGACAATTATGTTTTTCTGTCTAAAATGTGCTACTAGTTTAGTATTCTTAAAATTTCTTATTAAGGAAAAAAAAGAATATGGTGTTGTGGTTAAGACTGTGGGATTGGGACTCAGGTGACCCGAGTCTCTAGTCCCTATTCTGCAGTGGAGCTCACTGGGTGACTTTGGGTCAGTCACAGACTCTCAGCCCAACTTAACCTCACAGGGCTGTTATTGTGGGCATAAGGCTGAGAGTAGGAGGAGGAGAATTATGTGAGCCACCTTGAGTTCCTTGGAAGAAAAAAAAGTGGGATATAAGTAGAATAAATAAAGCAAATAGACAATTTATATTGTTTCAGTGGGCACATTCATGGAATCAGCTTCAGAGATTTACACTCAGACCAGCAGGGACATCCATGCGCGGCGTAATGAGAGCACATCATATTTCTGGATATTACTATGTTTCTTTCTGTGTGTGTGTGTGTGCAAACAATGCTGTGTATATTCATGGTTTCCCATCTAGTGTTTACACTGCATGCATGCACTGTCCAAAAAGAATGCTCCTGTACTAGGCATCAGTGATGCAATAGTAGTGTCTTAGTTTTGCATTGGAGAGGGAGGTTCTAGCTGAGGTGTTATTCTTTCCTTAGCCCCTATACTTTTTTCAGTACCCTTTCTGCCTTTTTTTCTTACTGTTAGGAGTCTTCCATTTCCAAGCATCCTTAATGCTGTTACCGCTGACGTTTTGTTCATATATCAGCACACTCATACAGAACTTGAATCCAGGCACCATTTCCCTTCTTCATCAAGAATGGATCAGTACTGTCATTGTGTTTAATTTCTTAAAATGTTCCTTGCTTGAGACTTACAATGATGTGTATCTATGCAGAAACCTATTCTTTGTTTTCCTTATTCATAGTGCTGCCCATCCTAGTGATGAATATGATGTTTCAATTTAAGCAATTTCCTTCTTTACAAAGTAATTCCTGTGCTTGCAGTGTCAAAAACACTCTGACCCATTTTTTTACTGCAAGGATCTTAGTGATAAACTACACACTACTTCACATGCATAGTGGATAGAGTTTCCTAACAATCTTTTTATCTTCAAGTAAGTGCCCAGGCTGCTGATCTGGATTGGGCTAGCATGTGTTGGTAGTGGAGGTTTAGATTTTTCCATCCAGCCACTCCTCTGTGCTACTAAATTTGCATGAACTGGAGAGAGAGAGAGAGAGAGAGAGAGAGAGAGAGAGAGAGAGAGAGAGAGAGAGAGAGAGGGAGAGAGAATCCTCCATTGGCATGTTTACTTGGAGGTAAAAAAAGTTAGGATCGTGTGGATACTAAGTATTTTATATAGCTTGTCCTGTAGCCCTCATTTATACAAAGATGAGCAGTTCCAAATCCGGACTATAGAAAGAAATATGCATGAATTGTTAGGCCTTTTGTTGGTTTGGGAACCCATCAGTCTGCCTGGCATTGCTGCAATGACTAGTTCATTAAACAATCTTTGGATTGGTAACATCAATCATGCTTTGTTGACCTTGCTCTGATAAATAAGGATTGAGGGGTGTGTGTATGGGGGCAGCCAATGGAGCACTTTCTGACAAATTACTCATTTATATTACTGAGCTGTGGCCCTAAGCACTTTTCCTTGGAAGTATGCATTCTATTAAAGCTAATGGAATCCACCTCCAACCAAGTGTTTAGGATTCCTCAACATTTAGATTGTATCCATTGCTTCCTTGTCCATTGAAAGCAAACTCACTGAGCTCACTTTGCTGTTTTTGAGCCTAGTAACAACCCGGCAGGTGTATCCATGCCTATAATATGTACCCTACATGCAGCTAAAGACTTCAAAAGGTATCCAGAAGCTATTTTAGCTTCAGTAGTCAGAATCGGTGGAACCATTATATGCTCTGTCATTATTTTCAGAGTGTTAGCATTTGAGTCTCATAGTGGTTCACATCTTGGTTTAAAACACCGAAGCCTTCTCAGTTAACCTTGCATTTTTGGCTGCCTTTTGGACCGGGACTCTGTCTTATTGTAGGTTTGAAATAAATCTGGTGTGTGTAAATTCAGACTGGCAGTAATGATATAATCCTTATGCATAATAGTTTGGTGTGAAGCTGCACACATCATTTCTCCTGCTCTAATGTATCGTCATCTTCTCATGTTCTGTTTTGTAGTCCTTCAGGTTCACGGCCTTCTACTCCTAAAAGTGACTCGGAACTGGTCAATAAGTCTTTGGAAAGGGGTGTTCAGAAGAATAATCCACAAATGCACTGGGACTGGGGAGAACTACCTCAAGCTACCAAGGTATGAGAAAATAAAAAGAAACCAAATATTTTTAAATGGTGAAAATAAAAGCGCTTAAAAGGTTTCTAATCCTTGCTTGTTTGCATAAGCTATAGTTGAAACTAACTGAAGTTTTTAGTTTGGATAAAACGACAGTGTGGTCAGTTTAAAACAGAAGCAGATGCTTCCAGTGTCCTCCTTGCAGCTGTGCCAAAAGATGAGAGGGGACCAGGGAGCAGGTTTGAGCACATAGTGCTCAGGTGTGATTTAGTATTACATCTGAGTCAATAACCTGTTGATTGTTTTGCGATGCTACTGTCCCTTTCTTCTGTCCCTTAGACTCTGTATGCAATTAGCACATGGAAGAGAATGGTATTGTCAGCATTAGCCATGCCCTTGATCTGCTTGGGGCTTCTGTCCTTTTCCCCTCTTCTTATTTGGGCAGAATTTGATACTGTGCTCTGCGTGGGCACAATTCTACTTAGAGATGGGAATTCTGCTGCAACCAGGATTCCTGATTGCTACTGCAGAATCTCTCTATGTAAAATTTTGTAGTTGTAGAACTTGTTCCCACATGGACATGGAGGCTGGGGATAGGTCCAGAAGGACTGTTCTCCATTTCTCTCTCTCTTTGGGTTGAGGTGTGAAAAGAATGTTAACTCTGTAATGTAGTCTCATGTGTGTCTTTTTTACTTTATACATGCTTCAGAGAAAGACACTCAAGGCTTACTTTCTCAGTGCTACAGCTTGTGAAAGAGTACAGATTCTTGCTAAATATGTGAAAGGCTCAGTTCTTGGCCTGTTGCTGTCCTGGGGGGCAATTCTATGCCTGCTTAGACAGACAAAAGTCCTACAACTCCCAGCATTTCCCAGTCAGTCAGACTGGGTGGGGAATGCTGGGAGTTGTTGGAGTTTTGTCTCTCTTAAACAGAGATAGGATCATAACTTTTGTGAATTCATATAGCTACTCACATTGTATAGTTTCTGTATGGCAATTAGGTTTTTTTCCTTGCATGCAAAGCCACTTTGTCATCTTCTTTGAGGAATGTTCTTTGGACTGTTGTGCTTTATTTTTCATTTCTAGACTGCAGGTTCAGTGAAGCCAAAAGAACCTAGCACCACTGTGGTGAATGTGAGTCCTTCTAAAAACACTCACTTTCGAGTCATTCAGAGTCATGATTCTGAAGAGTTTCCGAACATATCTTCCTCACCTGCCCTTGGGCTAAATGATGTTGTGATTTCCCTGGAAGAAACTGGGATCCAGGAAGCAGAACCTGTGATAAATGAGCCGGACATAGACACACTGGGGGCAGCTGCAGCTCCAGTTCCTGCAAACGAGGAGGCAAAACTGGCTATGACCAGTTTGACACAGCAGGCCAACAAGACAGATTCACCCTCCAAAAAGAAAGGTATAACCGTTTCCTTTTATTTCCATGTTGCTTACATGATTATAATAATAAAAATAGTGTTAGTAGCAGCCGCAGCAATGTAATAATGGAAGCAATATCCCTATGTCAGTCCTCCCTGAAGGAGCATTTTATGTTGCAGAGATGTGGAAATAGAATCTGATCTCTATGGCCAGCATTGGGGAAATCAGGCTCCATTCTGCAGAAAGTCATGAAGGCTTCATGCCATCTCTGGGTGGACCCAGAGCAATAGGCAGTGGGGCCAAGGTATGATTCTTACCAATGTTAAGCTTCCTTGAAAGCAGCTGGAGAAGCCTCTGCATATCTACTCAGAAGTAAGAAGTATTGAGTCACTCAGCAATTTCCTCCATAGGCCTCATGCTTCTCTTCTGCAAGGAAAAGCTCTTATCTCCATTCAGCAATTGATTGGAGGTAAACCCTCCCTTGCTGAGCACTGCGAAAGCAAGCCTCCTTCAGTGCTTGGTAGGAAAAGCTCCTCTGTGCAAACAGCTGTTTTGCTCTGCCATGATAGAGGCCAGGCCTGGGGAGGAAGCTGGTGGGACACCCGGGAAACATCTGCAAGCTGTAGCTGCTTTTCAGGCTGGAGGTTCTCAATACACACCTTAAGTATTAGATAGCAGTGAATTCCACATTGGAGGGTCAGACTCTCCATCTCAAAGGGGCATGAAAAGACTTGGCAGGTTTGTCATTTATTCTCTTTTGAGAACTTGAAGACTTTCACATTGCAGCAAACTCTCCTGTGCTGATTTCAGAGCATGTGTGGTCATGTGCTGTGCAATGGTGCCTTAACAAAGTTGATTTGTGTGCAGCTGTGAAAGTGAAAATGCTCCTGTTTTCATGCAGAGTAGCTCAGGATGCAGGCCACTTCCTCTTTATAAGCTGCTGCTTCTCTTGTGCTCAAGAAAAGATGGGTGGAATCCTTATAGAACGAAGTGAATGGGAGGGGGTTTCCTCATATACCTTAAACTTTCTCTTGTAACTTCAATCCATAATGTCTTCTCTAATGTTCCTGAGAAGACCTTCAATATTTTTTCATAACAGAAAGGAGCAAGCCCGGTACCCCTAGACAGTGCCTGAGGGATCACAGGATGCTTCAGCTTTCCAAATCTGAGGTTGGAGAGCACATTCTGTGGAAAGCTGTGACCCATCCTTCTTTGGAACCATCGTTCTGTGGAAAGCTGTGACCCGTGGTTCTACCAAGCTGTGACCCATGGTTCACCCTTGGAAGAACCATGCCAACCATCGTGGACAGGGAAAAGGTGCCAGAAGGCGCACAGCCAGTTTATAGCTTCAAGGGGAATTTGAGTTCAGACAGCAAAGATGTTCTGGAATGTCAGCAACTACAGGGTCAGATCAAGGCCAGGGAATGCCTGGGGAACAAGGAGGGTGGAGGTGATGGCCAGCCCGCCCATGGGAACAGGGAGATAGCCCAGCAAGGGGTGAAGTTGACACTGGAGCTAATTAGAGCCCCATCTACCAATGGGAGAACTGGGGAAGGACTTGAGATCTGGCCAGGGTGTGCGCCGGGACCTGAGCCGTCTGTCACAAACAGAGTTCTCTCCTGCTGGAGAGGTGATGCCAGTTGCCTTTTCACTAAAGGCATCTTGATTGCTGAGTGCCCTCCCCAGAGAGGCCTGTCTGAGGCTGACCCTGTCACCTTCTTCTCATCAGACGAAGATAGTTTCCCCAGGTTCTTAAAAACCTTTCATTTACGTATAGTCTGCTTGGATTCATAATGTCTGTGGCATAATTAGTGCTTTTGCAAAATGTGTGATATTGATGTTCTTGTCTGTTGTTGAGTTTGTTAATGGCTTAATGCTTGCATTTATGATGTTAATTGCTTTTAACATTTATTGGCCAGGGAATCATGGGCATTGGGCAGCATGTAAATATTATAAACAAATAAGACAAATGAACTCTTACACCAGAGTAGGCAGTACTGTGAAGATGACCTTGATGGAGATGAAGGCAATCAGAATCAGTGACTTCATGCAAGGAAAAAAATGACTGTGGATCTTTAAAATGTTTATTTTCTTAACGTAAACAAGTACATAAGAAAGATTATGAAACAAAGCAAACTGAAATGAACAAAGCAACCTATAATGAACAAAGAGAAAAATTGCCAAAGGAATTCTAAACAAATTCAAACCCCCAAATTTATCCATCTTTCTATCTTTCCACATTCTATGAGAGTTCATCAAAAAATAAATAGTTAATCTATACAGCAAGAAATATTCCAATCATCTCAAATCCTCTTCTGTCTTTTTTCTCTTTTCCAAACTCCCCTCAAATCCCATTAGTCATGCTGAACATAATACAATTTCCATTTATCATTAAATTCTTCTAATGGTCTTCTGTTTACATAGTTAAATTTGCCATCACTGCATATTTAGCTAATCTATCTTTCCATTCTTCAGTTGTTGGGGACTCTGATGATTTCCATTTAGAAGCAATTGTAATTCTTGCTGCAGTTGTCATAGACTTAAGTAACTCTGACATATTCTTTGAAAAGATCTCTGGTGGTATATTCAAAAGCATATTCTTGGGAGTCATAGGAAACTTAATTTTTAAAATTTTCTGTATTTCTGCATGCATCTGTTTCCAGAATCTTTTCGTCATTTCACAAGTCCATCACATATGAAAAAAGTCCCATCTACCCTATTATATTTCCAACATTTTCCATTGTAATGCTTATCTATTTTTTCAATATCTTTTGGAGTAATGTACCACCAAAGGATTTATACCAGTTTTTTCTTAATGCTTGACTAGCAGTGAATTTAACATCTTTCTTTGAAATCGTTTCCCACTGGCTAGGTGGTATTTCTTCTCCAAGATTTTGCTTCCAAATTATCATACTTTTCTTATCTTGATGGCTTTCAGTATCATGCTTTAATAACCATTTGTAAAATCTTCCAAGTAAATGATCATTCTGCTGTATAATCAACGTTTTAAAATGTGTCAGATCTCTTAAGTTGCCTTCTTCTAGTTTTATTTATTTATTTAACATTTTTGTATCCCTCCCTTTGCAGGATCTCAGGGTGGCAATAACATACATAAATAAGACACAGAATCATAAATAAGACACAACATCTTATTTATGTGTTGTGTTTTTCTCTTCAGTTTTGAAATCAGTTGGTGATAAACAAGCCACTGTATATTTTTCCCTTCATCTTTTAGTTGCTGCCAAGATTTGACTTGCCCTTGTTCATCAATTGCATCTCAGTAAGTTATGAGATGGTTATTTCTCCTCAATATTTTTCCATATGCTTCAACTAGGGACATCAGAGGAGAGATTGGAGGTCTATTTTTTTCCCTCATGGAGTACCAAATTTTTATTAGGCTATCTCTTCGCACATGATTGTTGTTTGATATCAAGGCCTTTTTAACTGACTCCTTAACCCACAGAAGATTATGTATTCCATTTTCAGGATCAGCTGTTTGCAACTTTATTTGCCTGTCATTAGCATTTGCAATCCAATCTGCAACATAGACCAGGCCTGCTGCATAATAATACAGCTTCAGATTAGGTACTGCAAGACTTCCTCTCTCTCCTTTACATTCTCAAGAAATTTAAATCTAATCCTTGACTTCTTGCCATTCCACGTAAAAGTATTTAGTTGTTTCTGCTAGTCTTGGAGAACTTTTCTTGATATCGTGATTGGTATCCTCCGAAAGAGAAAATTCAGCGTAGGCAATACATTTATTTTTATAATCGAGATTCTTCCCAACCAAGATGCATTTAGTTTAGTCCATTTTTAAAATCCTTTTGGATCTTCATCCACATTACTTGAAATAGTGTGTCATTATGTCCCATGATATTTCTTCCTAAATATTTGACTGGGTTTGAAGTTATTTCACTGCCTGAATTTTTAAAAATAGTTTTTCATCTTTCTGTTTTGTTACAAAATTTAATATAATTGTTATTTTCTTATTAATCTTGTAGCCAGAATAACGTCCAATTTTTTCAACTTGTTGCATTATATACTGTATGGAGTGGTGTGGGTCAAAACATCAACATAGCATTTCATTTTGTATTCTTCACCTGTTTTAAACCCTTTCATTTTTTGGTCCTGTCTTATCTTTTTTGCTAAGATTTCCAATACAAGGATAAATAAAAGAGGTGATAGAGGACATCCTCAGCGTGTTCCCTCATTCATTTGGAAGCTATTGGATTATACACTGTTAAAATCTTAGCATGTTGTCTAGTATAAATTGCTTGGAGAGTTTTCATTAAAAAAGACTAAGCCACATTGTCAAAGGCTTGCTCCACATCTAAAACGATAAATGCAGCAGCATTCTTCCTCTTTTTCTTGATCCATTCAATCACAAAAAGTATGTTATCTTTTATATTCCTTTTTGGGACAAATCCTGTTTGATCTGCATGAATTGTTTTTCTATACATTTTCTTAGTCTCTCTGCAATTATTGAAGTAAAAAGTTTATAATCCACATTTAATAGTGAGATAGGTTGATAAGAATGTGGTAACGAAACATCATTGCCTTCTTTTTGTGTCAATGTTTTATGAGTTTCCTGCCATGTTGGTGGTAATAGTCCTCCTTCTTTAATTCCATTCATTACTTCTTAATGTGGCAAAATTAATTTTTCCTCTGGGCACATGTAGTACACAGCAGTAAATCCATCAGGGCCAAGTGCTTTTTCTTTTTTCAGTTTACTAATAGGTTGTGATAGATCTTGAACTGTAATAGTATCATTCAATATTTTCCTCTGCTTCAGGGTGAATTTCTCAAGACATGTTTCTTTTATATACTTCTCTATTCCATCTTCTGAAGTTGTTTATATATATATATCTATATATGTATCTGAAAAAAATTAGTAAATTGCTAATGGATTTCCTTTTCAACATATGCCATGCCATTATCTTTCCTCACCCCTCTTACAGACCTTTGTATTTCCTTCTTAAGGCAATATGCTAAGTATCTTCCAGATTTATTTGCATGTTCAAAATGTTTTTGTTTTAAAAATCTTAGCTTCTTTTGTATCTCCTGTGTACCTGTCATGACTAGTTGAATTCATAATTGTCTAAGTTCAGTTAAAATTAATTTGTCTTGTCTTTTATGTTGATCCTCTAATATTTAAATTTGCCCCAAAAGTATTTTTCTTTGTGCTGATTCTCTCTCCTATTTGTTCTTTCTGCCATATTATTTCCAGTGGGTTATGGTCGGAAAGTATCTTGGGTTGGATCTTAACAGCCTCTAGAATCATACTTAGGTTTTTAGATATCCAACACATACCAATCTTTGAATATGTCTGGTGTCTATCAGAAAAAAATATAGTTTCTAAGAGCTCTAGGATTTTTAAAGCATCTTCTAAGTGTAACATTTCCATATAATGAAAAACATTTTTGGGAAGTTTGTTCCCTCTTACCTTTTTAGACTTAGCCTTATTAGGGTCTGTAACTCCATTCATATCATCAATAATCAAAACTTTTCCTTTTTGAAAATCCAATATAGATTGAATTTGTTTTCATAGGAATTTTCTTTTGCATCATTTGGAGCATGTATTGATGCCAATGTATTCGTCCTTCCATTCAGAAATCTTATCTTCAGAACAATGAATCTAGCATCTGGGTCTTTTAATTCTTCTACAACTTTTAAACTTTGATTATTAATATAAATGGCAACTCCTTTCTTTTTAATGTCATCTGAAGTTTCATACACTTTACTCAGCCACTTGTGATTCACATATGAGCAAATCTTTTCTTTATATGAGTTTCTTGAATACTTAGTATATCTGCCCTTTGTTTTCTTAAAAAGTTAAAAGCTTTAGTTCTCTTGGAAGGAGAGTTCATTCCATTAATATTTATTGATAAAATCTTCATTTTGTCTCTTTTAATCTATTTAAGGAGCTCAGACAATCTCTTTTCACATTTATCATCAATTTTCAACATCAAATTCAGAGTTTCCTTGAATTAATTCTTCTCTCATTTTTTCCCCTCTTCCTCCACATCACCTTTCACATTTCTTCATAGCTGTGAATAAACTCACAATTTAACACAACAGCTTAAAGCAGAAATGGGAGGAGGAGAAGCCAAGAAAGAAAAAAGAAAAAAAGAAGGGAGAAGAAAAGGCAAGAAGCAGAGATATATAAGGTCAATTAGTCAGTCTTCTATAAATGTTAAAGTTATTAGTCATATTCTATCTCTAATAAAATATTAGTTTAGATTAATTTGTTTTAAAAAGACATTGTTAAGACATTGCTTTCATAGTGGGGGGGTTTTAGCTTCCATTTTTCTTCCAGTTCAGCAGGTGGCGCTGATGGTCTCCAACTCATTTTGTTGCTGCGTCACGTCTTTGTTCTCTGTTACTTCAAGGCCAGAGGTGAGGGAGATCAGGAAAATCACAGCCTCCCCAAGTCCCAACTCCAATCCAAGCTATCAGGGAAGCATAGTTGTTCTTTGTAATACATCACAAATAAATCAGTTCAGAAGCAGCAACAGAAAGTCTTCCAGCTTGATCAGCGAGCAACTGTCTCAGGGAATGCCAATAGAGAAAGGGAGACAGCTATCTCTCCCACCGTGCCAAAGCTGCAGTCAAGGTCAGTTTGTGGTATCCGTAATTTTGCAAATGTTGAAGTCTTATTGAAGTCTTAATATTAAGTTCAAACATGATGTTAGGAAAATATCAGTTTCAAAGTCCTTTCCAAATAGGTAAACATAAATGCCTTACGAATCTGGATTGCAGCCAGAATCTCATCCTGAAGTCTGAGCTGTCCAGAAAGTACACTTGTCCTTCATCTCAATTTAAAAGCTCCGAAATGAACAAAAAAATACCCTCACCTAATTATCTCATGCCAAGGTCAGTTTGCGCAGTTCATAATAGTAGAAGTAGAAACATTAAACAGATTTGCAAAGGAGACATCATTAATCACCAAGAGTTGTCTGTTTCAGGGTCGTTTCAAAATATGCAAACAAAAATGCCTTAAGTCTAAGTTGCAGCAAGTTAGCATATTGTTCCCTTGGCAAAGAAAATGAAATAATATGAAGAGAAACTGCACAAAAAAGAAAAAAAAATAAAATAAGGAGAAGGGAAAAGGAGAAAAGAAAAGTACCGTATTTTTCTGTGTATAAGATGATACTTTTTCTTTAAAATATTTACCTAAAAATGGAGGGGCGTCTTATACATGGGGGGCCGAGAGGAGAACTGCGGGCGCAATTGGGAGGGAGGCGGGCATGGGTGCGCTTGGGGGGAGATTGGTGTGGACGTGCGTGTGCAGGGAGGCAGGGAGATGGTGGGCACACACGTGCGCAGCAGCAGCAGCTTGCTCACTCGGAGATCGGTAAGAAAAGTGGGGGGCATTCTATACATGGGGGCGTCTTATAGTCGGAAAAATATGGTCTATGTGGTGGTGGTGGGGTTCACTCTATAACTTGTTCAGTTTACCTTATCGGGCCATCTTGCTGTAATTAGAGCTGTAGACCAAAAGTCTTCATGCCCACGTGTCATTTAAAGAGGTAAAGATCCTCTCAAAACTATTTATAAACGTCTAAATGAGATAAGGTGCCGAGCAGCAAACTTTGCTGGTACTTTTCGAGTCAGCATTTCCCTTGAGGTCCATGACTGTGTATTTTGATTCAATATTTATATTCAGTATTTGCCATCAGTATTGTTTCTGTATTTCACAGATAAACGGAGCCGACATCTTGGGGCTGATGGTGTGTATTTAGATGATCTTACAGACATGGAGCCAGAGGTTGCTGCACTCTACTTTCCTAAAAAGTACGTACCGTGTTGCCATTTATAGTGGAGCTGTTTGATCCCACAGAACTTAACAGTGCCTTTTTTCCTTCTTAAAATGAATGTTGAGATTTTTCAGGAAATTTGTCCCTTCTGGTGCATAAGGAGTGTTCAAGCTCTCTAGAATTCTTCAAATATCATCCTGCCCAGTTTGTATTTACAATCACTGCTTGGTCTGTGCAAACAGGAAAATAGCAGAAATTGAGTAGTGATTTCCTAATTTGTACAGTTTTCTTCCATAGACAAAATAGGGATAATTCATTCTACAGAACAAATTTACACATTAGGAAATTTGTGTCAGTCAAACTGGGAAAGTTGTGCAAATCAAACAAAATCATATTTCTAGTATTTGTGAACCTGAGTTTGGGGCTTCAAACAGGGCATGCTTGCATATTTTGTGAGCAAAAAATGAAATTCTCATGCATCCCTATTCCTAACAAGAACATGCTTTTTCTTGCTGTTCTTTTATGGGATTGTATCATCCAATATAGTTTGTCTAAAATCACTAAAATGAGATTTTTCTCTTTTATATTGTCAATGCTTTTCAACATTAGGTGGATTTTAAATTAGGTAGAAAGAACTACTTGACAAAATAAAGGGTGGAAAGAGCTACTTGAAAGAAGCATTAGGTGGAAAGAGCTACTTGACAGAAGAAAGTTATAGGGCAGTGAAGCATTAAGGAAAACACGAAATGTATCTGTAATCACATTTCCAAATTAAACTAACAAACCATTTAAAATTGCTCTCTAGCTTTGCCAATATAAAGTCGGTTGTATTTTCCCTTATTTCTGTTCTCTGCCAATTCAGGGGCCTGTGTGTTTGTCTAGAGACAGATCTGAGTTACAACCAGACTTTAGATTTTCAGAAATGGATGTTAGGTGCTGCATTTTTGTCCCTTTGTGTAATCTGTGTGTACTTGGAGAATGTCACACCTACCAGGTCACTTGTGCAGTCACTATTTTGAAAATGAGCCTGTGCTGCAGATGTTATGACCTCATCTTTAAAATATTTCTATTGCTCTCCCCCTTTTTATATCACCTCATCTGACTTAGAATTTTGGAGAACCCAAAAGCTTGTGTAGCATTTTGGTTGGTATTGCCTAACACTGGATTGCAAATCTGCCTGCACCCCAAAGATTGGATCCATTACCCATGGACCACATCAGCTATTTTTAATTTTTGGACATTTTCAAAAATACCTGTGCAGCCATGAAGGCTAGTAATAGAGCTTTTAAAAATGAAGAATGCCTGGATTCTTTAAAAAAAGGGTTGTTTGTCCATTCAGAGAAGTCTCAGGAGTGTGACAGACTGTCCACTGTCCATTCTAGATAGATTGAAACATCAGAGGCAGCAGGATGAGCCTAGAAGCTAATTTGGAAACACAGTTTTGTCTGAAGTGCAAAGGCTTTTTTTTAAGGGCCTGTGTTTTGAAGCTTTAGCTGTAGAAAATGCTAGAGAGACACAAAATATTTGTTAACAGTATCAAGTGACTGGGAGTATCATGCAAGATGGGGACATTTTTTAAACAGTATGGGTGAGAAAATCACAAAGACAACTACTGATTCTCCTCTTCTCAGTGGTGAACATGCTGCTCCCTCAAAGAATACGAGTGAAGTCCGCACAGCCAATCGGTCTCCTCAATCACTCGGAAGCTCAGGCGTTGACAGTGGCATAGAAAGCACCTCAGATGGAATAAGAGACCTGCCGTCCATTGCCATTTCACTTTGCGGGGGACTTAATGAGAATAAAGAAATATCAAAAGGTATATATGTTTACTACATCATAATGCCTTGTCATTTAATACTAGGGATGGGTGAACATACAGTGCACAAGCTTTGCCAAAATCCTCTTTGTAGTTTAGTTCACATTGTTTTCCTTAGTATGAGCATCTTGTTTTCTTCCTTCATTGGAAAAAATGCACATTTTCTCCTGGGGAAAATGCACATTTCTTAAAAGTGCACTCCTACAGGGTGCAATTTTTCTGATTTTGTTTGCATACTTTAGCAGACTGGGAAAACGCACATTCTAAATGGCTTGCAAGTCTGGGTATCTGCAAACTTTTTCTCTGAAGCTGCAAATGGGATTTATTGAGAGTTTTGCAAGCAGATATGAATTTTATGTACATACCAATTTAATGCTTGGATTCTTTTCTGAAAAACTCTGCTGTGACCTCTTGTGGCTCTGGTATGCTATGGCATGACAGAGCACCATGTCACAAGGGAAATTCATTGCTGGCCACTATTAAAGTTAAATGATGAATTTAGAAGAGTATATTCTCCACCCAGCTGGGAATTTTGGGAAATCATGATACTTTGTATCGCTAATTTTATTCAGCAAGAGCTATTGCCATTAAGAATGCCTTTTGTATTTAAGATTTGAGGCAGTTATATAGGACACAATGGCCATTTTCCTTAAGGCTGAATAACATAAGATTAGAATGCATTCAGATGCAATCTGAAACCAGCCTTGCTGTGGGTTTTTTGTTTCTTCTGAGTAGTGAGCCTTCATTTCTGTCCAGCTTCATAGTGTATTTAACAGGTGTCTACCCGCAATTGGAGTGGCTGCTTCTAGTTTGTCATGCTTCTTGCCCCCAGACGTCATCCCTTTTTAAAATGTTCATTTATTACATCTCTGTACTGTCTAATAACTCAAGCCCTTGGGGCTGTTCACAAATATTAAAAACCCGAAAACATAACATGATGAAATATAAATGTTTTGTATGTATACAAATATATAAAAGCAGTACAATTTCCCTGTTAAAATGATGCTAAAATAGCAGACAGATATTTAAATGAATAATCTGCCTACTGCTTTACCATACTCTTAAAAAAGGTAAACCCTTTGCAAGAAAAGTTGGAAAACATTCCATGATATGAGGAAGAGTAGATGTCTGTCACTGTCCTCAGCCGGCTTCTGTTGCAAGCTGGTAGCAGTGGCGTCTCATGAACATGATTCTGACAGAGAATTGGACTTCTCTGTACAGTGCAGTGAGTGTCTATGCCTGTTCAGCCAAAAGACATGTGTGGGCACCATTATTTGCAAAGATGTGTACACAATTATTTCTTGAGAAGTTAAGAGTTAGTTGTCATGCCTCACATATTTGGCAAAACACCAGAGCTGAAGGTGGATTCTTCTTGCTTACACTTAAGAGCCAGTCTAAGTCTACAATAAGTTCCCATGTCCCTTATGGACTGGATCCTTAAGGCAGGGCTAGGCAGCTGCTGCCCTCCTTCTCCAGTCAAACATAGTCCCCCATTAGGATCCTTTTAGGGGCTTGGCAAATCTCAGGTTTTATCTGTTTGTCAGGAAATGCAAAAAGAGGTTTGCTCATCATCTGACAGGATGCAAAGCACTGCCCAAGAGCCATATTTGGCTTCTGGGTGGGTTGTCACCAGTTGTGTAGGCCTGCCCAGGTGGATGAATGATACAAGATACCCATTCTTACCTCCCTTGTTGACTGTGATTTAAGAAACTGTGAAACAGCAGTGCTATCTCCGCTGTGCATTTCAACATCATTTTGGGCATTAATTGGGGCTCATGCATGCTTCCATTTTATTTATCCTATGAACAGAGAAGTTTTTAGAACAAGAAGTTACATATCAGCAATTTGTGGACAATCCAGCTATTATTGATGACCCTAATCTTGTAGTGAAGATTGGAAGCAAGTGAGTATTGCTTATATTTTGCTTAAAACAACCACCAGAAATATTCAATGCCATTTCCATAGTGGCAGACATAGCGCTGCTCCTTCAGAGATGTGGAATGTTGCCCTGTTCAGCTTGATTTCAGTTTTACAGCAAGCATCCACTCTTGGTTTAACGAAAAGGAATTGCATTAATCCACCTTAATTAGAATTATGTGAAGTTATGGTTTAAGACTTTTATTATTACTGTGCTACTATTACATTTACATCGTATTTCCTCTTGCAAGGAACTTGAGGTGGCTTACATAGTTGCCTTCTCCATTTAATTCCCACAATGACCCTTTGAGGTAACTTAAGTTGAGAATCAGCAACTTATCCATAATTACCCAGTGAATTTCATGGAGACTAGTCCCTGGAGTTCCCAAATTCTCTGCTTCCATGTGATGTTTTACAAATGTTAACGGTGGCACATAAACTATTCTGACCTCCTAGATACTACAACTGGACAACAGCGGCTCCCCTCCTCCTGGCAATGCAGGCGTTCCAGAAACCTTTACCAAAGGTGAGATTGACTGTACAAACCTTTATGAGAAAAAGAGAGCAGATACATTATTCCAACAAGAATTAACAAGAATGAGAATAAGAGGCTATGTGCACCTGATACAGTTGGTGAATCACACTGCTATATTTTCCCAGGCTATTTGTTTCCCTGTATCCCTAACTAATATATGCTTTAAAAAAACCCTTTGAGAGAAAGTTTTCTTCTTTTCCTTTCTTTCCTAGTAGGCTTTCTATTTTTAAGCCTGTGATGAGCAGAAAGTTGCCATCTTAGAGGCTTATGTTCTGTTTGTTTTAAATTATTTTTCAGTTTTTTTAAAAAAATTGTGAATTTCAACAAAACTGTACCAAGAAAAAAAGAAAAGAAATGCAATTAACTTATATAAACTTAATCACTTACAATAGACGTATATGAAATGTGAACCTATGTGCATATATATGTATATGAAAATACAGCTATCATTAAAAATAGTTATGTATAAACTTCAAAAAAGGCTGAGCAAATATCCATTTGCAGATAGCATCTAAATTCCACCAGTTCAAATGCTGAAAGCTTCTTTTAGGTTCTTGATCTATTGTATTATAAGTGGGGAGCATTTATCCTTAACCTTTTATTGTCCAAAGGGCACAGAAAATCCATTTACATTGACCTTGCATTAACGTTCAAGCACAGGTAAATAAGAGAACACATGCATCAGTAAAAATTAAAGGGCATTTCAATACAAAGTTTATATCATAACCTCCTCCCAAAAAGAGGCAACTATTGAACGTTGCCAAAATGTACGGGTAAGAAATGTGTTAGTGCTATTTCACCTCCAGCAATTGGCTAATTTAGAACAAATGTGGCATCTAATAAACATGAAACAAACGTTTTTGCTGAATAAGATGCAACCATTGAGGCTTCTGGCATAGACAGGCGAATGAGTATCCATTCATTGAGTAAAATAGAAAATCCATTTTCCTATTCCATTCCCGCCTAAGATCCTGTGCATCATATGTATTTGCTATTTACTTGCGACTGTGGAATGCACTCCCTAGAGAGGTCCGCCTGGCGCTGTCATTATATGCTTTCTGGCTCTAGGTCAAGACCTTTTTATTTGACCAATATTTTAATGTTAACTGATTTTAATTGTATATTTATTCATTTAACTTATTTTAATTATGTTATTTTTATATTCAGTCATGGCATAGCCAATTTATTTTGTTTAGGATTTATTTTATATTATATTGTACGCCATCCAGAGACGACAGTGATGGACGACCTATAAATGCCATAAATAAATAAATAATAAGCACTCATAAACCTGGATAGTGGGTTGAGATACCTGATCAGCCCTAATAAGTACTTCCAATAATGATAAAGAATCTAAAGCTGTCAAAGAAGCAGAGGCAAATCTAGATTTTAACAAGTGCTGCAGTTCAAATATTTCCATTCAGGTGTGGCAGGTGAATCATATTTAGCACAGAAAGCAGAATATGGCAAGTCATCATCTGGACTCACTAATTATGCATCAAAGTCCATCACATAAGTATTTGCTCCCTAATTTTTAAATCTGGGTTTTCCCATAGTCAATTTAGCATGAGAAAATGGAACAAAGTGTACTTGGTGTGATATTGTATGCCGCACCCCTGACTGCTGTAACTGTATGAGGAACCCTATCCATTTTAGTGTGCCAAGAACCTAATTCCATCTGTTTGGTGAAAAGATCCAGATATAAAGACTCCAAAACCAACTAAAGTAGATTATCTAAGCTAAGAGGAAATTTCCAAAATTTAGTAGCAGTCAACAAGCAAACTCTATGATATAGAACCAAATTTGGAGGCCAGATTTGCCCTCTTTAATTGGAAGATACACAATTTTCAAAGAAAATTGAAAGGAGGAACCCCAAAGAAATTGATATTCAGTTACAAACTGTTCCACTTGTGGATGGCCAATTCATAGTCAATGGCATTTGATAGGGACATACAGCTGCTTAAGATTTGATGAATTCATGGACTTGGTGGTATACATGTTCCTCGTGAACCATGTGGTAGTAAGTTCATGCCTCACATAAAGATCTGCTGGTAGATATTCAAATACATCGACCTGTCAATAGTTCAATATCTTACACTCCATTAGTTTTTTTCTTGTGTCAGAAAAAGCTGCCAAGAGATCAGATTCCATTGGCTGGTCATAACTGGGAAAGGAATCATGTGTGCACACTAAAAGTTTCTTGCTGTTACCACTGATGAATTAGGATTCCCTAAAGCCCTGTCCTGAATCATATGCCAGAGCCATATTCTCTCCTGTGCTCTTGCTCACACATTAACACATAGCTAGTTTCTGCATGCTTATGCACATAGTTAGCTAATTCTGTTCCATCTGTGTTTTGCGGATTGTCAGGTGCCTTTTCTTCTGTTATCCACTCATTGACAGTACTAAATTTTGTCCAAATTTGTTTTTACATAATGTGCAAATTTAAATGTCCAAAAATGCACAAATCCCCCCCAAAATACATGAATTCTCCTAAATTGTGAATGTTTGTATTTTAGTCCATTAGAGGAAATGTGCCTTTTCAGGTACTGTTTTTAAATTTTTCAGATTTTTCTTCGACTAAATTTGCAGACCACTATAGAAAAAATGGTCTGCAAGTCTGTGGAATTTGTGTGACTTGGGAAATACTGGCCCACTACAGAATCCACTAGCTAAATTCATAGAAATCCAAACTCATATGAATCTATTGCAAATTCATCTAACATCTGTCTCTGTGCACATACTTCCTCTTCAATGTTACAGTAAACTAGGCAGGGCAAACCTGATTTTGAAGAGTTGGGACTTTTTTTTTTTTTAATCTCTCAAAAGGCCATAAGCAGGGAGCACAATGAATGTTTGTTTTTGTTAGAATAAGGAGGGCATCTGCATTCATGAATATTCAGTGTCAAATGTGTCATGAAAGCAAATCTTTTTGTCTTCCATAATAAGTGCCTACTGCCTATTTGGATGACACAGTAATACAAATGCTTATATTTGTTTTCTTTTTGTTATATCATCTTATTTACTCTACTGAATACTTTTTAAATAGACATTACACCATTCTTCTAAGTTTCATTATTATTTAGCAAGGACAGGCTATCATCTTGTCCATCTGTGTTCCTTACCAACATATTTTTAAAATAATTTTATTAAGTAGAGACTTCTTTCTCCCCACTCTCCTAAACATTATACTAATGCCTTATGCCTCTTTTTGTTCCCATTTCTTTTCTATTTTTCTTTTTGAATTTTCTAAGTGTTCTTGTTTAAGTTACTTTAGTACAGTTCTGGATACCATTAGGTTTTGCTTTGACAAGATTTGTGGTCCACAGACAGTATGTTTCCTTTAACTCTCTTTCCTTGAGTTTAAATTGTGTGTGATTTCTTTCTTTTAACTTTTGTTTGCATGAATTAGATTACTTTTTGTTCTATTCCATTATTTATGTTACCATCCATTTATCACAGGCCACTGTGGATTCTATAATGAGGGATAAGATGCCAAAAAAAGGTGGACGATGGTGGTTTTCATGGCGAGGGAGGACTACCTCTAGCAAAGAGGTAAGTTTGGAAACTAGATGTACCAAATTTCTTTTCCAGGTTAGGACACCATATATTTGGGGCTCTGTGTATAATCATTAATGAAACTGTTAACAAAATTAACATTTCTGACTGTATCCCCAGGCCATTCAAACGTGGCAGAAAGAAATGCTGAATTCTGAAACTTGTATACATTTATGCAGATATGCACATATTTTTTGTAAAATTATCCTACACATTTTAGTATGTATTTATTTCATCTATGCTCATTACAAGGAAGATAAGGAGTGATGCAGAGTACTGAAGCCTGGTTCCTTGTTACTGGAAACCTTCTCTGGGACATTAGCTTCAGATGTGGTCTGAAGACATATTTTTGCAGCCGTACGAGCTAGAAATTTGCTTTTCAAAAAAATTTAAAAATCTCAGATTCTATAACCTCCATGATATTTGGTGCCATTTCTACAATCCTGCATGCGTGCAGCTGTGCATATATTTCCTCACATAGTGTTTAAGGGCCCTGTCTAATAAAGATGAAGGAATTGCCTTAGGGCGAGATCCACCTAGCTGAGCACTCTGCTTCCGGTGATGCCTAGCCAACTGCCTGTAGGAAGCCATCAGGCAAGGCATGATGGAGATAGCTATGTTAGTACTTTGTGAACATGGATACGCCATGTACCTATCATATTTAATAAGCCACCAATAGATGCCATTAACCTTAACAGCTAGTGCTTTGCCTATGACTGGCTGGAAGAGAAAGGCAAACCAACCGGAATGAGCTCTGAGCTTGGCTGATGCTACAGCCTTGCTCATTCATGCTATTTCTTCATCTATTCAAGTAGGGGAGACAATAGGCTGCGTTCTCTTTTCTGTGCACCAGGGCATTTCTACCACAACTGTGCCTATGAGTTGCAAAATCACATCTGTTCTTCATCTTATTATTTTATCAATAGGAGACAAAGCCTGTACAAGGTCTGAATGGAAAAGAAGAAACAGACACTGTAGACAGGTATCAATAATTTTGCTTCTGCTTTTCAATTTTCTGAATACTTCAGAATTCTTAGCTCATTTTGTTTCTCAACAGTCTTGCAAGCTAAGCTAGTCTAAGAAAAAAAATGCCCCCTGAGGTTTATAGCTGTCCAGGAGTTTGAGCCTATCTCTCCTGTGTGTGTGTGTGTGTGTGTGTGTGTTGTACATGTGCGGAACAAGAGCTGATCTGCACATTTAACATAATAATATGGCAGGCCACCTTTGTTTTCACTATACTACTACAAATACTACACTATACTACTACAAATTGCAGTCGTATACTATTACAAAGTAGGGTTGTGTGCTTGAATGTGAAAGAGAAGTACCTTAGGCAGAGGGTTAACTAGAGTCTCTGCCTTCGATGTGCCAGGCATTTTTTTTTTTTTTTTAATGCGCAGGGAGTTTCTTTTGATCAGGCTGCAATCTTTTGGCTGAGAGGTACTGGCTAGATGACCATAGGGGAGTCTTGGGATTCCCTCTATCCCTTCCCTGTATCCTCACAGCCGGTGCGCTGGAGGAGCATCAAGGGAATCCGCCCCTCAGCCCTCCTTCAGATATCTGTAATCCTGCGAGTTCAGAAGGTGATAGGCAGCCACATTGCACTGTGCTTTAACAGAGCTTTTTCATGTGATTATTCTGAATCAGCCTTGTGTGTGTCTTTGTGTGCATGGCAGCCAGATTGCCAAGCATATAGTTTTTCATCATTACCAATGATGCAAGACAATGATAAAAGCACAGATTCTGGCATCAATTGCAGTCATTGATGTCCAGTGCTTAGGAAAACTAGCCTGAAACTTCTTGGACATTTTCACTTGGTGTGGTGGAATTACTCCACAGTAAATATTCTAAACTCTTGCCTACACCCCTGGAGAGTTGAGGTCAATGCTGACAGAGGGCTGGATGGACAGAGGGCTTAAGGCAGTTTCCAATGTTCCTAGTTTAAAAATTGGTCCTAGTGCTGTTAAAGACTAGTTTGAATAATTCTAATCATTTGACAGTGAAACAAGATTCATTTAAAAATAAGGATTTATTGTTGGAGCAAAACCATTTCAGTTCAGTACTGCTTAGAAAGTTTGAGACATGTATCATAAATGAAGGGTGCTAAGCAGACCCTGTTAATTAAACTCAAGGATATCTCTTGGCTGTGTATTTGTGTGCATTTACTTGGTATAAATAAGGAGACTCATTGTCTTATTGCTAGTGATGGTGGTGGGGAATTCCATGGAAAGTACCATTGCACCATTCTGGGAGATTTCCCAAAAAAATTAGTACAGCGGTGCCTTGTAATTCCTTACGACTTAATTCCTTTCAGGAGGCTGTTTGAATTGTTCAAAGCCTGAATC